CAGGAGAAGAACCTACGTACCCACCATTATGCGACGCGTTTCGCCGTTGGTTAAGCGGCTCATCAGGCATATTGGGCTATGTGGCTTTACAAAGCCCAACGGCGAAACGCGTCGCATAATGGTGGGTACGTAGGTTCTTCTCCTGGCTTTCCTTTCCATTGCAAAATTTAGATCATCAAGCTCGACTCGAAAGAGTATAATCACTTAAAAAAAAAAAATTAAAAAATTTAAATGTCCAATTTAATTTTTCTAAATAAAAAAACTGACCACGAGTCTGACTCGTGTTAATCATGTTTGGCACAAAAATTGTACCTCGAGTCAGACTCGTGGAAATACGTCAAGGGGTTAAGATGCAAGAAAAATCTCAAAAATTTTTAAAAAATAGTTTTCAACATTCCATACTTTGCGTGAATTTGTTGATTTTTTTTTAATTTTTTACGTCCTCATGGGCGTGGATTTCTTAAGCATATTTTTCAAGGCCCAATATTAGACATGATTTTTTTTTATCCTACACAACTATGTTGTCAGGGTATTATAGCTTTGTGTAGCCCCAAGAGTTTGTAATGTCGCAAAATATTGGTCCTAGACCCACCGATCGTCATATTTCGACTAGCTGAGTCGATGTAGACATGTGTGTTTGTAAACAAGATACAGGCCACAGTTATATACCAATCTTCACGAAGTTTTGCATGTAGGATGGGTTCGGCCTAATGAAGACATCTATTGTTTTTGGTAAATATCGGATAATATTAAGGATATAAAATGGGCCAAATACTTAATGTTTATAGTTTTTTCTGGTCGCTCCAGAGGCCGCAATTATGGCCCAAACATCTCGACTTTTTACATGGAGAAGGGGATTGGGACAACGCCTATAATTTTCGGTGATGATCAGATAATAATATTGGGATGAATTGGATCGAAAACATAATTTTTTGTTGTTTTTTTCTAGCCACAGTTGAAAGCCGAACATCACAACACAACCCACGATGAAGGGAATATAGACAAGTAATTAGAAGTACTGTACTGAATATTAGTAATATTTGTTGATCTGTAGTGGATCAAGAGAGTGCAAATATGTGTAGGGTATCATATGGTCGGTCCCGTCCGACTCCGCTCATTGGTTTAAAAATGTGTTTTCAATAACCTACATAAGGAGTGGATTTTTGAAAAATATTTTTTTTTTTTCGATGAACTCATGGTGCGAATTTTTCTTAAATAATATTTTTTCAAGGACCTACATAAGGCATAGTTTTTTTAATATTTTTTTCTACAAGTCTTGCAGAATCGTGGGGTAGATCTGACGTGCAAATTGCAATTTGGACATTTTGGACTTCAATAAATATAAATGCTCAGTATTATATATGAAGAAAAAATTCAGTTGTAGAGGCTGATCTTCTACAAAAAATCTTCTTCTCTTATATAGAAAATCCTTCAGATCTTCTAAGGAAATTATTGCTGGTCTTCTATAAAAAGGGCATATTATTTTTCTCCCAAAATATAACCTAACCCTATTGATTTCTGCACGAAAGAATTCAAGACCTAAATAAGAAGTCTATGCATAATAAAATATGATAACTTCTGCTTTTCTATAAGTAGAACATCTGGTACCCTATAAACCCCCTTTGGTGTTCTCTAATACGTCCTGGTCTTCAATTCGACAAATTTATTTTATAGTTGAACAAATGGGCTTCTAATTGAAGATGAAAAGGAATGCATTCTGATCCCTATAACAAGACATTTTCATATTCAATATACATAACTTCTGATCTTCTATAGAGAAAAATTTGTCTTATTGTCTTCTATAAGAAGATCTTCTGATCTTTTATAAGTGGCATTTTTTCTTCTGTAAAAAAACCTTTTCATCATCAATAAAAAGTATTTTTGGTTCTATAAAGGAAGACCTTCTGTCATTCTATAACAAAAGGTCCTCATCCTATATAAGAACACAGAGGATCCTCTATCCTCTATAAAATGACGTTCTGATCTTCAATAAAAAGATCTTCTGGTATTATACATGAGTAGTACTTTATTATCTTTTATAAGAAGAACTTATTTTCATCAATAAAAAATACCTTCAGGTCGTGATAAAATTGACCATCTGTTCATATTCTATAGGAAGACCTTCAGGTCTTCAAGTGGAAAATATTTTGGTCTACTCTTGGAAGACTTCTGGCCTTCCATAATAACATCTTCTGATCTTTAGTAGGAAGAATTTCTGTTCAGTGACACGAAAAACTTCTGGTGACCAATAGGAAGACCTTTTGTTCATCAATAATGAAACCTTCTGTTCGTATATGAAAAATTTTGGACCCTATAAAGGAGAACTTTATGGATTTCTATAAAAAACGTATTATTCTATAAAAATAGTGTCAAGACCCATTAGAAGATTTCCCTATAGAAGCTCTGAGCAGACCTTTTAGTCAGATATATATATATATATATATATAAATACTGGTTTTCTATAAAACGACATTTCGATGAAAGACTTTTGATTTTCTATAGAGGATTTTCTTCTTGTGTTCAACAAAAATACCCATAGATTATAAACCTATAGGTCTTCCATAGAAATGTCTTCTGCTCTTCCGTAAGGACTACTTCGTTTAAAAATCCACTCATCTTTGATTACTTGTATGGTTTTAATCACAAAATAATATCCAAAAAATAAAACGTGAAAAACTACTAAAATTTTTTTTCACATTTATATTTTACAAATCAACGCTTTGTATACGTGATAAATAAGTTAAGATTAAACAATGCAGGCACTTAGTTTTGTTTTAAAAAATCATTTTTCATATGTTACTTCTTGTTTCCTATCTGAATATATCAGTTTTTTCCAATTAGACCTCTCCAATTTATCACAGAATTTTTTGGATAATTTTTGTATTTATTTTGATTGAACAAAAGACCGTTAATAAAAATATTGACCATTCACAATAGCAAACACCTTGCAACCCTGTTTATTCACAATACAACTCTAAACGAAAAAACAACCCCCTTTAGTATGTTGTTTAAATTGGGGGTGGTTGTGGGGTTGAAATATTGATAACCATATCAGGTGGTGTGTTTTATTCCCTTTGTTTTTCTCCCTTTTTCCTTTATCTCTCATAATTACTCTCTCCAACTGTCAATGGCACCTTTTTATCGGCAATGTTTTTATTGTAGTTCCTTTTTTGCACTGCATGTCATCCTCAGCTCAGTTCTGTTTATCAACCAACTGTAGGGTGGTGCAAAACAAACGCTCTCTCATCACGTTTCCTTTTTTCCAATTTGACAATTATCCACTATTTTCCTAACGTGACAGAACAGTAAGAAAAAACTTGCAAAAAAAGGAGAAGCAGCACCAGCAAGACATTGAAAAATAAAACAAGTAATGAAAAGCAAACAACCATATTTAGAAAAAGAAAATATTTAATGTCCTCGAAGTGAAGTGGAAAATAAAAAAGAGCAAATATTTGAAGATATAAGAAAAAAGTGTAAACATAAGCTATGGGCAATTTTTGAAATGGAAATGTGAAAAAGGGGTTTTCCAGAGAAAATTGCATATTACCGTTGTGAAAGTGAAAACATATACACATGAAAATAAAATACATTTTTTATTGAGAAATAAAATTTCCTTAAAAATAAAAAAAAACAGTTAATAAGCATTATTGAAATAATTCAAAATCAAAAGAGACCAAAGTGCGAAATCAATAATTTTCGAAAATATTGTTATTATTTTGTAAGGACTTGGGTAGTCCTCTTTTGTGTCTATATGTATGTATTATAGTGTGTATGTGTGTGTGTGTATGTTCCTCAATTTGCTTTGTGTGTTCGTAAAGATTGCGTATTCGTGCGTTTAATTGCCTGGTGTTCCAACCATGCTGCTGTTGTATGTGTGTGTCCGTGTGCCTGTGTCCTCACAACATTTTGTCATAACAATTATTCATTCGCATAGGGGGGCATGGGTAAAAGAAGATTGCTAACAAATTGGACGATTAGGACATTCTGTAGTTGATTGATTAAAAATTGTATTGCCAATTTGTACCCATTCAAGAATTTGTAGCTACAAGAGACAAACACGTACAGATCTCCAGAATAATTAGAAGCTTTAGAATATCTTCTAGCTTCGTAGACCTTGAAAAATATTCTTTCAAAGTCCACGTCCCTTTATAAGCCTTGAAAAATATTCTCTTTATAGACCATACAAAAATTTTCTTTAAAAATCCACGCCTCTTTATGGCTGTTTGGATTCTTGAAAAAATTTTCTTTAAAAATCCACGCCTCTTTATAGACTCAAAAAAAAAATATTATCTTCTTGGACCCTACAAAAATCTTAAAAACATATTCATTAAAAATCCACGCCTTTTCTTGGGCCTTTATAGACCCTACAAAAATTTTCTTTAAAAATGCCTCTTTATAGACCCTACAAAAATTTTCTTTAAAAATCCACGGGTCTTTATAGACCCTACAAAAATTTTCTTTAAAAATGCACTCTTCTCTTTATAGACCCTACAAAAATTTTCTTTTAAAAATCCACGCCTCTTTATAGACCCTACAAAAATTTTCTTTAAAAATCCACGCCTCTTTATAGACCCTACAAAAATTTTCTTTAAAAATCCACGCCTCTTTATAGACCCTACAAAAATTTTCTTTAAAAATCCACGCCTCTTTATAGACCCTACAAAAATTTTAGACCCTACAAAAATTTTCTTTAAAAATCCACGCCTCTTTATAGACCCTACAAAATTTTCTTTAAAAATCCACGCCTCTTTATAGACCCTACAAAATTTTCTTTAAAAATCCACGCCTCTTTATAGACCCTACAAAAAATTTCTTTAAAAATCCACGCCTCTTCAGAGGCCTTGAAAAAATATTCTTTTAAAATCCTCACACATATTAATAAAATATTTCTTCTTATGCATTTTCAGGTCACCAATGTCCAACTACGCTTAAAATTCCAAAATATACCAACACATTATTCAAATAAAAATTAAGAATAAATAATTACGCTATACCAAAATGATTAAATCACCAACAACAACTCTAACAATTGTGTTCCTAATTCTTATGAAAAATGTTCAACATTGGAGCACATATGCCACCAAGGAGGTGGCCAATCTCGATACCTTGTATGATGATAAAATGCATCATTTAGCCAAAAGGATGGATCTGCAGGTGTGCCTGGGTAAGTTACAAAATATATTTTTATCGAAATGTTGGAGAAATGAGAGACAGAGCTGATGGCTGTCCCTATAGACCAACTTATGGCTGTTTCTATAGATCAGCTGATGACTATATTTGTAGGCGAGCTGATGGCTGTCTTTACATCAGCTGATGGCTGTCTGTATACATCAGCTGATGGCTGTCTCTATACATCAGCTGATGGCTCTCTCTATACATCAGCTGATGACTGTCTCTATACATTAGCTGATGGCTGTCTCTATACATCAGCTGATGACTGTCTCTATACATCAGCTGATGGCTATCTCTATACATCAGCTGATGGCTGTCTCTATACATCAGCTGATGACTGTCTCTATACATCAGCTGATGGCTATCTCTATACATCAGCTGATGGCTGTCTCTATAGATCAGCTAATGGCTGATGACGGTCTCTAGAGTCAAGCTGAAGGCTGCCTTTATAGAACTGCTAAGGCCTATCTATATAGATCAGCTGACGGCTGTCTCTATAGATCAGCTGACGGCTGTCTTTTTAGACCAGCTGATGGCTGTCTTTATTGACTAGCTGATGACTCTCTCTATAGTAGAGCTAGAGCTAGACCTGCTTAGGCTGTCTTTATAGACCAACTGATTGCTTTTTATAGACTAGCTGATGGCTGTCTTTATAGTCGAGCTGAAAGCTGTCTCGGTAGTTGGGCTAATGCTTGTCTCTATAGACCAGCTGTTAGCTGTATGTATGGACCAGCTGATGGCGTTTTCTATTGAACAGCTTATGACGTTTTCTATTGAACAGCAGATGGCTGTCACATCTGAAGGCTGTTTTTATAGACCAGCGGAAGGTTGTCTATATAAACCAGCTGATGATTGTCTCTATAGTCGAGTTAAAGGCTGTCTTATAGACCAGCTAATGGCTGCCTTTGTAGACTAGATGATGGCTGACTCTATAGTCGAGCAAAAGACTGTCTTTCTATAGACGAACTAAAAAATACTTGATAATATTTTTATTGACCTCTATGCCCCTTCAGGAGTGATCCCTACTTATTAAAATTTATCTTTTTTATCCAGGTCAATTTGATGTTCACAAAAACACCATCATACGTACGGGTGAATCTCAAGCAATTGGAGGCAAGTACCTTCAAGGCCTTGAACTGGACACTATGGAAGAATGTCAACGTTTGTGCTGTGAGACGGAATCTTGTGATGTCTATATTTTTGAAAGTAAAAAGGATGGCTACTGTTACCTTTTCGAATGTGGCACGCCGGAGAATTTCCATTGTAAATTTACACGACATGCCAATTATACAAGTGCGGTCTTAACACCTGTTATACGATCAAATATCGAAGTGACTACACCACATCCCATTGTGGCACATAAAACATCCTCGGCTATATCGCAGCAAGAATGGGAATTGTCAAATCTAAAAATTAAACCCGAAGTAAGGGAGAAGGCAGTGGAAATGGGTGTGCCAACAATGGGCGCCATTAACACGGGTCTAACAGCAAATACAAATTCAAAGAAATCTATGGGCTTATCGGAGATGGAAACGAATACAAAGGGTGAGTTATTTGACAAAGAATTAAATAAATTATTAATTGCCTTCTCTTTTTCCAGTTAACTCTTCAGTCCAGTGTGGCCGTTTCCAATTCGCCTGCCACTCGGGAGAATGCATTGCTGTGTATAATGCCTGTGATGGTATACCTCAATGTGAGGATGGTAGTGATGAGGGTCCTGAGGTAGTTTTCGATTTATTTTGAAGATTTTATTTTTCTAATTTATATTCTTTTGTTTATAGTGCTCTGGAGCTAACAACAACAATTTGTCCCCTAATACAAAGTCTTCAGCGGACTCATCAAATTCAAATAAAGCCTCACCTCAAATGACCCAATATCAGTCTCAGGCTTTTATGCAACAATCAGCCCAACAACAATTACAAAATATGCAACAACTTCAACCATCAACACATCAAAGTCAAAATTCCGGAATTTTACCCTCGATTCCTGTGGTCAATAATCGCGAGGATCCCACTGTTTGGGAAACGAGGAAAATTGTTTCGGGAACTCCACTCAATGCGAATGGTGAGTTGTTTCCAACGAGGGAGAAGGAAGTTTAAAAAAGAAGAGTGAAGTCATTTGAGACTTGTCAAGGGAGTCCTAATAGAGTAACTAGACGGGGTGGACGAGCTGAAGGATATTTTATAGACCCGCTGAAGGCTGTCTTTATTGACCATCTGAAAACTATAAAGGCAACCTTCAGCTGGTATATAAAAGCTGAAGATTGCCTTTTAGTCTATCTGATGGGAGTTTTTATAGAGGAGTTGAAGACTGTCTTTATAGATGGCTGTACTGACAGTCCACCTGAAGTCTGTCTTTAAAATCCACCTGAAGTCTGCTTTTAAAAACCAGCTGAAGGCTGTTTTTATAGAGCATCTGAATGTTGTCTACATAGAACTGATCGTTTTTTTTTTTATAGTCCAGCTGGACTTTGTTTTCATAGATCATCTGAAGGCTGACCAGCTGAAGTCTGTCTTTACAGACCTGAAGGGGAAGGCCTTTACAGTCGATCTGAATGGATTTTTTATAGAAGTCTGTCTTCATACAACAGCTGACGGCTACCTTTATAGATTAACTGAAGGCTGTATATACAGATCAGCTGAAGCAGTTGACCCTGTCTTGATAGACCAACTGAATCCTACATTTTTAGACCAGACTGTATTTATAGAGAGAGATTATAGACTAGTTGAATGCTGTCTTTAAAGACCAGCTGAGGCCTGTCTTTATAGATGAACTGAAGGAAGCTTTTATAGAATAGCTAAAGTCTGTCTTTATATACCAGCTGAGGATTGTATTCAGAGATCAACTGGCTGAAGGGAGTTTTTATAGATGAGCTGAAGTCTGTCTTTATAGACCAGTTAAAGTCTGCCTTTATAGTCCAGTTAAAGCCTGTATTTATAGTCGATCTGAAGGGATTTTTTATAGAAGCGAAGGCTGTCTTCATAGAACAGCTGACGGCTACCTTTATAGATTAACTGAAGGCTGTATATAAAGATCAGCTGGATACTGAATTTTTTGACCAGCTGAAAGTTGTCTTAATGGGCATCTGAAGCCTGCCTTTATAGACCAGATGAAACTTGTATTTACAAAGCAGTTGACGCTGTCTTAATAGACCATCTGAATCCTATATTTATAGACCAGACTGTATTTATAGACTTGAAGGAGTTTTTTTTTATAAAAAAAACTGAAGGTTATCTTTGTAGACCAGCTGAAGCCTGTCTTTATATACCTGAATCCTATCTTTGTAGACCAACTGAAGACTGTTTTTTTTTTTTTGACCAGCTAAGGCTGTCGTCATAGACCACCTGAGGCCTATCTTCATAGACCAGCTGAGGCCTGTCTTTATAGACTACTTAAATGGAGTTTTTATAGACGACCTGAAGTCTGTGTTTTTAGTCCACCTGAAGTCTGTCTTTATAGACCAGCAGAAGTCTGTCTTCACAGACCAGCTGAGGCTTGTCTTTATAGACGAGCTGATGGGAGTTTTTAGAGAAGATCTGAAGTCCGTTGTTAAAGGCCAGCTGAGGATTTTCTTCATAGACCAATTGAAGGGAGTATTCATAAAGCTGAAATTTTTTTATAGGCCAGCAGGAGTTTGTCTTTATAGACCAGCTAAAGTCTGTCTTTATAGACGTGCTGATAGGAGTTTTTATACAAGAGCTTAAATCTGCCTTTATAAACCAGCTGAGGATTGTCTTTGAAGACCAGCTGAGGCATGTCTTTGTAGACCAGCTGAAGGGAATTTTTATAGAAGAACTGAAATCTCTCTTCATAGACAAGCTGAAACCTGTCTTAATAGACCACCTGAAGCCAGTCTTTATAATACGACTGAAAACTGTATTTATTGCCTTGCTGAGGCCTGCTTTATAGCAGCTGGTGTTGAGGACCAACTGAAGCCTATCTTTATGAAACAGCTGAATCCCGCCTTTATAAACCAGCTATTGCCTATCTTAATAGACCAGCTGACGTCTGTTTTATAGTCCGACAGAACATTGTCTTTATAGACCAGCGGAAGGCCGTTCTTATAGTCAAGTTGAAATCTGTCTTTATAGGCCAGCTCAAGCCCGTCTTTATAGAGCAGGAGAAACCAGTATTTATATTCCAGCTAAAGACTGTCATTATAACAGCTGCTATTTAGAGACCAGTTTTTAGGACTAGCTGAACCCTATATTTATGGAACAACTGAATCCCGTTTTTATAGACCAGCTGAAGCCTGTCTTACAGACCAGCGGAATGCTGTCATTAGGTTCGTTCGTTTACTTTCCCAGTAATATTTACTCAGTAAGAATTTGCAGAGAGTAAATACGAATTTTTCCTTCTCAAGAGAGAAAACTGCAAAAAGTAAACGAACAACATCCAGTAAAAAGATTGTTTCGACACAGCAGATTAAAACAACAAACAAATTGGCGCAAACTAAAAAACAGCATTTTTATTAGAAAAATGGATAACAAGCGGAAAATTGATGTTGTTTGTTTCCCACAAACATTTAAAAGGGTTGTGTGATATGGGGGTGGACATAACCGATGGTGTTCAAGACATGTTAGGGATGCACACTTTTTTGTTTGGATTTGGAATCTAAAAAATCGTTCGCCAATTACTCTTGTATTACCTTATTTTTAAATACTTGCGTTTTCTTCATCCATTTTGGTATTTAATGATACAAAATCAAAATAAAATTCACAAAACAATCAATTTTCTTGAGAACAATTTTTGTTTGTTTACAAAACATAACAAAACAGCTGATGGTAGAAGAAAATTCTTACTGAGTAAATTTTCCTTGTAAGAATTTGCAAATACTCAGTAACACAACTGTCAAATCTGCTCTCTCAATTCACTCTCTTTTACTGGACTTTTGGGTAAACGAACAACATTTTGTAATAATTTGTACAAATTCGTACAAATTATTGAGTAAACGAACGAACCTATTGTAACAGAGTGTGTATAAAACAGCTGACGACTGCCGTTATCGACCAGCCGAAGTGAGTCTTCATAAACGAACTGAAGAGTGTCGTTTATAGTTGAGATGGAGAGATACCTTATAGGCAAAATGGAGGGAGTTTCAAGAGCCGATCTAAAGGGAATTATCCTGTGAAGATTTTTTTCCTTTTGAATAAAAATTTTGCAACAAATTTATTCATAGTAAAAAAATTGAAAATATCTTCCCACAACATGCCGTTTGCGATAATTATATCGCGTTACAAAACCAAAGCTTACCACCAGCAATTTAGTGTAACCAGTATTCATTCATATTTATTATAAGAAAACTAAATTCTTAAACGCAAAGGTAGGGCGTACATAAATTATCAAACTGTAGGAAGTGGTTTTCAAGTTAATATGAAGTAACCACATTAACTTGAAAACAATGGACAAGATTGTAAATTGTTTTGAAACCTCCCCCCGTTCAACGACTGTGTGGGAAATGAGGTAGAACCATTGGAATTATGCTAATGATGACATATCATGCACATTGTATTATGGAGTTATTAACAAATTATACCATCACTTCCAATTAAACTTTTAGTTGACGGTTTTTAAAGTGCTTATTATTGGTCATTAACAACAATGTAGAGGGAATTTAGAAAAAAAAAAATAAATAAGAAATGTTCACGGGTAATACAGAACACATTGCGAAGTTAAATTATCATAGCCTTTATATAAGTGGAGGAGGAATCCCTGTATTATCGTCCATTTTGTAAATGTAGGACAGTTTAAAGAGGCTCTTGAGAAATATTCCCAAAAAATCCACTACTATTTGTTAGATACTTGAAAAATATTGTTTGAAGCCCAACGCCTTTTTGTTAGGCCCATGAAAAAATATTCTTCACAAATTGAAGTCTTCGGTGGACCCTTGGAAAAATATTCTATACTTTAAACTAATCTTTCCTAGGCTTTTGGAAAAAATATTCTTTAAAAAGCTATGCCTCTTTGTTGGATTCTTGAAAAAAATAGTCTTTAAAAATCTACGACCCTTTTTTAAGCCCTTGAAAAATTATTTTAAAAATTTCAAACACATAATTGATCCTCACTGGACTTCGTTTAACAATAATTTGGACAATTTATCGGACTTCTAGATAACTCAAAATGTGTTCATACCCATTCAAATTCATTTTTAATGACCGCCACAATTATTTCCTCTAGATTAAGGTTATCTAAAAGACCGTTACAATTTCAAAATTTATTTAAATCAGATTCGCTCAAAGAATACGAACATATTTAATTGTCATGAAATGGTGTCACTTTGCCGAAGATGATGTTCAGATAAAAGCCGAACAAAACAACAACATTGCTTCAATGAAACTAGTTTCAGAATTCCACGGTGTGGAAAATGTAAATGTTAGGCTCAGACAAAAAACAAGACTAAAGAGAAATTAAAGAAAAGAAAAACAAAAGAATGGTAATTAGTGAAAACTTTTTTTCTGTTTTTGTGTAAAGAAAAATTATCATGAAAAATGAAAACATTAAAGGGAAAACGTTTTGTCTGTTATTGTTCGTATACTAAGTGATCTAGTGAAAGATTACAAAATACACATACAAATGTACACAGACATAGACCATTTGGGTGATTGCAATACGGAAAAGTCATTAAGTTGGGTTGGCTAGAATAAAAAAACAGAAGTCTAGTTTTGTAGACTCAAAGGTGATTAGAGGGGAATGTCGGATATTTTATGGCCGGAAGTATTCATATCGACATTTTTTAAAAATATTCAGGCCTTAAAAAATATCTTTTAAAAATACACGCCTTAATGGGACCCTACAAAAAATATTCTTTAAAAATCCGCGCCTTTTTTGGACCCTTGAACAAATATTCCTTAAAAAATCCGCGCTTTATTAGACCCTTGAACAAATATTCCTTAAAAAATCCGCGCTTTATTAGGCCTTGGGAAAAATATTCTTTAAAAATCCACGCCTCTTTATAGGCCTTGGGAAAAATATTCTTTAAAAATCCACGCATCTTTATAGGCCTTGGGAAAAATATTCTTTAAAAATCCACGCCTCTTTATAGGCCTTGGGAAAAATATTGCTTAAAAATCCACGCCTCTTTATAGGCCTTGGGAAAAATATTCTTTAAAAATCCACGCCTCTTCATAGGCCTTGGGAAAAATAATCTTTAAAAATCCATGCCTCTTCATAGGCCTTGGGAAAAATATTCTTTAAAAATCCACGCCTCTTCATAGACCTTGGGAAAATATTCTTTAAAAATCCACGCCTCTTCATAGGCCTTGGGAAAAATATTCTTTAAAAATCCACGCCTCTTCATAGGCCTTGGGAAAAATATTCTTTAAAAATCCACGACTCTTCATAGGCCTTGGGACAAATATTCTTTAAAAATCCACTCTTCTTCATAGGCCTTGGGACAAATATTCTTTAAGAATTCACGCCTCTTCAAAGGCCTTGGGACAAAATATTCTTAAAAATCCACTCTTCTTCATAGCCCTTGGGACAAATATTCTTTAAAAATCCACGCCTCTTTATTGGCCTTGGGAAAAATATTCTTTAAAAATCCACGCCTCTTTATAGGCCTTGGGAAAAATATTCTTTAAAAATCCACGCCTCTTCATAGGCCTTGGGAAAAATATTCTTTAAAAATCCACTTCTTTTTTAGGCCCTTGGGAAAAATATTCTTTAAAAATCCACGCCTCATCATAGGCCTTAGGAATTTTTTTTTTTTTGAAAATCCACGCCTCTTCATAGGCCTTGGGAAAAATATTCTTTAAAAATCCACGCCTCTTCATAGGCCTTGGGAGAAATATTCTTTAAAAATCCACGTCTCTTCATAAGCCTTGGGAAAAATATTCTTTGAAAATTCACGCCTCTCCATAGGCCTTGGGAAAAATATTCTTTAAAAATCCACGCCTCTTCATAGGCCTTGGGAAAAATATTCTTTAAAAATCCACGCCTCTTCATAGGCCTTGGGAAAAATATTCTTTAAAAATCCACGCCTCTTCATAGGCCTTGGGAAAAATATTCTTTAAAAATCCACGCCTCTTCATGGGCCTTGGGAAAAATATTCTTTAAAAATCCACGCCTCTTCATTGGCCTTGGGAAAAATATTCTTTAAAAATCCACGCCTCTTCATAGGCCTTGGGACAAATATTCTTTAAGAATTCACGCCTCTTCATAGGCCTTGGGACAAAATATTCTTAAAAATCCACGCCTCTTCATAGGCCTTGGGAAAAATATTCTTTAAAAATCCACGCCTCTTCATAGGCCTTGGGAAAAATATTGTTAAAAAATCCACGCCTCTTCGTAGGCCTTGGGAAAAATATTCTTTAAAAATCCACGCCTCTTCATAGGCCTTGGGAAAAATATTGTTAAAAAATCCACGCCTATTCATAGGCCTTGGGAAAAATATTCTTTAAAAATCCACGCCTCTTCATAGGCCTTGGGAAAAATATTCTTTAAAAATCCACGCCTCTTAATAGGAAAAAATATTCTTTAAAAATTCACGCCTCTTCATAGGCCTTGGGAAAAAATATCTTTAAATATTTAAATATTTTTATTATTTTTTGGGGCCCTGAAACCTTAACTGCTAAATTTTACTCACAATTCCCATCTTTTCTCTTCTAGGCAATGTCGATCTGCAAAATATGAATCCCATATCCCCCGGCAGTGGTGTTGCATCAGCTGATGGCTTTACAGCCTACATCAATAATCGTCAATCTGCGACACATGGCATGTATGCTCCAGCAACCTCAACCTCAGATGGTGTCATACCAATTGCCAACACTAATAGTATTGGTGGCAACAGTGGGGGTTCTACCTTAGAACAAAGTGGTCTTTATGTACCACATATGACCGCTGGTGTTGGTGGTGGTCAAGATGCTAATGGTTTATATGTTCAACAGCAGCAGCAACAACAACAACAGCACATTATGTTACCACCTCCACCACCCCCTCCGCCGGCACCATTAAATTCTAATTGGCAACAGCAGGCTATTCTAAATCAACAGAAACAACAGGGATTAGCAATGGCGCAACAACAACAACAAATTCCACTGCCTCAGGGTTCAGCATATGGCATACAAAATGATGGATCGGTTCAACAACAGTCGCAACAACCACAACCTGTTGCCAGTATTATGATGCAGCAAACAAATCAACAACAGCAAAACCAACAACAATCTGCCCAATTATCGGTGCCTTCTTTATCCCAACAACAACAAGCGCTAAGTGAAACAAAATCATCTGCGGGCACCTCAAGCCATTCCACACAGAATGTAGTCAAATCGGATGATTCCGATGAATATGATGACTCAGAGGAGAAATCGACGGAACCACCAAAGAAGGTAAGCGATATTAAAGATGTGGATAAATAAATAAGAAAGGGAAACAAAAAAGGTTCTTAAAAATCAACTTCTCTTCAAAAAGCATGAACAAAATTAAGCCTATTTATAGATCTGGAAAAAATATTCTTTAAAACTCCAAGCCTCTTTATAGGCCTGGGAAAAATATTCTTTTAAACTCCAAACCTCTTTATTGGCATGGAAAAAATATTCTTTAAAACTCCAAGCCTCTTTATAGGCCTGGAAAAAATATTCTTAAAAACTCTGAGCCTCTTCTAAGTCTGGAAAAAAATATTCTTTAAAAATCCACGCTTTCTCTTCCTTACTTACTTAGCTGCTTGTTACAGAATGCTTGTTCCATAAGCCGAGTTTAAAAAAGATTTCCAAGCGCGTCGGTCTTGTGCGCATCTCCTCCAGTTTGAAAGACCACGTTCCAAGATGTTGTTTTCTACTTGGTCTTTCCATCTAAGTCGTGGCCGTCCCCTTCTACGAGAACCATCAGTAGGCTCGCTTTTATATGCCTTTTGAGCTGGGTCATTCTCATTCATTCGCACAACATGGCCTAGCCATTGTAGTCGCTGCAGCTCAATACGACTGACTATGTCGATGTCCGCGTATAAATTGTAAAACTCGTGGTTCATTCGACGCCGATATTCACCGTCGACGCAGATCGGCCCGTAGATCTTTCGGAGAATTTTTCTTTGAAACACCCCAAAAGCAGTCTCATCTGCTTGCGCAAGTACCCATGCTTCAGATCCATATAACAGCACGGGTAGTATCAGAGTCTTGTAAAGTGTGAGTTTGGTCTGGCGGGAGGTGGCCTTGTTTCTAAACTGCTTACTTAGACCATAGTAGCATCTGTTGGCCATCACAATCCTTCTCCGAATTTCAAAACTGATGTCATTCGTTTTATTTATGGCGGTACCATGGTATATAAAATCGTTCACTACCTCGAAGCTGTAGTTCTCAAGTTCCACAGTTGGTCCGAGTCTACTGGACGTCTTGCGCGTTAATACCACAAGCTTGGTATTTTCGTCGTTTACTGCTAGACCCACTTTGTCAGACTCCTTTTCAATTTGTTCAAAGGTGGATGTTACCGCTCGGCTTCAGACCTGGCAAATCCACCATAGCACTTTATATGCGATGGGAAAGAGACTTATTCCTCTATAGTTGACACATATCGTCTTGTCTCCTTTATTGTGCACAGGACACAGGATGCTGAGGTTCCAATCATTGGGCATGCATTCCTCTAGCCAAAATTTACTAATCAGCTGGAGCATGCTCCTGACCAGCATCTGACCAGTCTTGAATAGTTCGGCTGGTAACCCATCGGCTCCTGCAGCTTTATTGTTCTTGAGCCGATTAATTGCTTTTATGACTTCATCTTGGCTAGTTGGTATACACTCTATACCATCATCTGGGATATCTTCTTCAACGCCGATATTTGTTACCAGAAGCTTTTCGAAATGCTCCTTCCAGATCCACGCTGTCTGTATCTGTCACCAGGTTTCCTTCTTCATATCTACAGGAGGATGTGCCTGCGCCAAAACCTTCGGTTTGGTGTTTTACCCGTTGGTAGAATTTTCGGACTTCATTCTGTCTCCTGTACATCTCGATTTGCTCACGCTCACGTTTTTCTTGTTCTTTCTATTTTCTGAACTCCTTTTCTCCCGATAATTCTCCATCACATTACGTGTTGCTACTGTCTGCAGGGTTGCCCTATACGCTGCGTTTTTCACATCAGTAGCATTACGACACTCCTGGTCGTACCATGGTTTTCTTGATGGTGGTTTTTGGTACCCAAGTGTTGCTTTTGCTGCAGTTTGTAGGGAGTGGGCAATTCTCTGCCACTGCGCTTCTATAATATTATCGGGACAAGAAGTGCTTTCATCAAGCAGGTGGGTAAGTTGAGCGGAGTAGGCCTCGGCTACCTGTTGTGTTTGCAGCTTTTCGACGTCGAGTTTCCTTATTACATTAGATGATCCGAATAGATATTCGCTCCTCGGATCGATCGGGCGTCTAAAACACTGGATGAATGCCTTCCGTCTATCACAACATGGTTTCTCGTCGAGATGCTTGAATCTGGTGCTACTAACTACCATGTTTTTTGCTGCCGCGAAGTCAATGAACCTCATGCCGTTGTCTGATGTTTCTTCATGAAGGCTGAATTTTCCGACGGTGGGGCCAACGATATTTTCCCTTCCGATTTTTGCATTAAAATTTCCTAGCAGAATTTTAATGGCATGGCCAGTGCAGCGATCATATGTTGCTCATTTTTGTCTTCGGTCGGAGCATGGCCTGGGTTTGGTTTTCTTTTTCTTTGCTTTTTCATAGTAGGAGGGGTTTACCGAGCGTGAGCAACTAACCCGACGCCTCAACCCATTTTTATAGTTCTTATGGGTGAACTCACGGCACGGGTGATGAAAATAGCTACCCCAGGTGACACCACAGGGAGGTCAGTGTCCACAATTGAGATTAAGAGGGACCAAGATAAGCCTGTGCTTCGCCATGTTAAGGCCAATCAAAGCTGTTGCTTGGTATCTATCATCCCCTACGTCGCCTTTTCTAGGCCTTGAAACAAATATTCTTTAAAAATCCACGCCTACTCTAGGCCTTGAAAAAATATTCTTTAAAAAATCCACGCCTACTCTAGGCCTTGAAAAAATATTCTTTAAAAAACCCAAGCCTACTCTAGGCCTTGAAAAAATATTCTTTAAAAAATCCACGCCTACTCTGGGCCTTGAAAAAATATTCTTTAAAAATATTCTTTAAAAAATCCACGCCTACTCTAGGCCTTAAAAAATATTCTTTAAAAAATCCACGCCTACTCTAGGCCTTGAAAAAATATTCTTTAAAAATATTCTTTAAAAAAATCCACGCCTACTCTAGGCCTTGAAAAATATTCTTTAAAAAATCCACGCCTACTCTAGGCCTTGAAAAAATATTCTTTAAAAAATCCACGCCTACTCTAGGCCTTGAAAAAATATTCTTTAAAAAATCCACGCCTCTTTGTAGGCCTAGAAAAAATATTCTTTAAAAAATTCACGCCTCTTTGTAGGCCTGGAAAAATATTTTTTAAAAAATCCACGCCTCTTGTAGGTCTGGAAAAAATATTCTTTAAAAAATCCACGCCTCTTAGTAGGCCAGGAAGAAATATTCTTTAAAAATCCACGCCTCTTAGTAGGCTTGGAAAAAATATTCTTTAAAAATCCACGCCTCTTAGTAGGCCTTGAAGAAAATTTTCATTAAAAACCACGCCTCTTTTGAAGGCCTTAGAAAATTTTTCTTCCCTTATTCTTCAGGAATCTTTGTTGGCCTGGGAAAATTCTTTTAAAATAGACGGCTCTTCTAAGCCTGGAAAAATATTCTTTTAATATCCACGCCTTTTTTGGGATGTTAAAAATTATTTTTATAAAATTGTTGGTGGAAGCTTAAATTATATTTTTTTTTATAAAAATCCACCCCCAAAATATTTTTCTAAAAATTTCAGCACAAACACAAGAAGGGCAAAAGTAAAGCCAAAGATTTGGATACAATTCCCGCACCCAATGAAGAACCCTCTCCCACAGCTGGACAACAATCACAACAACAACATGGAACCGCAGCCAAGGCAACAACGAATTCAGTGAAAGCAGTAAAAACAGCCGTCTCGCCCGTTCACGAACAATACGAAATAATTCATCAGAATATGGCTCTGGAGTTTCGGGATCATGATGGACAATCGGAAAGGCCGGGTGGTGCAGTTTTATCCCTAACCTTAGGTTTGCTAATTACGGCAGCACTGGCCATTCTCATCGGCTGTCGTATGCGTACGGTGGGACGAAGGGCCCGACGTTTGGGCGGTAAAACGCCATATTCCCATGAAGCCGATTTCTTAGTCAATGGCATGTATTTGTAAAAGGGTCCACGGACCCATAATTCTTGGATTTTTTATTTTGTTTTCGTTCTTTTTTTTATAATGGCTTCAGCAAACCAAAACCAACCAAACAATTAAACAATAATTTAAATTATATAATCGGAAGTAATTTGAAAGAAAAAAAATAATGTAACCTAAAAAAGAGATACTATATTCTAAACTAATTTTAAATGTGCAGATTCTGGGATGATGAAATCTATATCTTTTCTGTGTTTCTATGTGAGTGGTCTTAGCACCCATGAAATAAAAGAAAAATAAAATAATTATTCTATAATCTGAAACAAAAAAATAATAATTATTATAAGATTTTGATTTTAATTCTAGTCATGGTGACCGTCGAAAGTTATACCAACAAAAAAGAAACAACAATTAAAAAGTAAAACCCCCCAAAAATAATTAAATTAAATAAAATATTGTGTAATCATTTTAGTGATTAGTTTTTAAACGTCAATATAACAACTTATACATACATACAAACCTACATAAATATTTTTTGTAAATTATAACAAATTATATATGAAATATAATTAATTTGTGTTGACAATTTGCAATTGTGTTTTATTAATAAAAAAAAGAAAAAGAACTTCCTTGTTAGGCCTTGAAAAAAAATCTTTAAAAATCCACACCTCTTTATAAGCCTTGAAAAAAATAATCTTTAAAAATCCACGCCTCTTTATAGGCCTTGAAAAAAATAATCTTTAAAAATCCACGCCTCTTTATAGGCCTTGAAAAAAATAATCTTTAAAAATCCACGCCTCTTTATAGGCCTTGAAAAAAATAATCTTTAAAAATCCACGCCTCTTTATAGGCCTTGAAAAAAATAATCTTTAAAAATCCACGCCTCTTTATAGGCCTTGAAAAAAATAATCTTTAAAAATCCACGCCTCTTTATAGGCCTTGAAAAAAATAATCTTTAAAAATCCACGCCTCTTTATAGGCCTTGAAAAAAATAATCTTTAAAAATCCACGCCTCTTTATAGGCCTTGAAAAAAATAATCTTTAAAAATCCACGCCTTGAAAAAAATAATCTTTAAAAATCCACGCCTTGAAAAAAATAATCTTTAAAAATCCACGCCTTGAAAAAAATAATCTTTAAAAATCCACGCCTCTTTATAGGCCTTGAAAAAAATAATCTTTAAAAATCCACGCCTCTTTATAGGCCTTGAAAAAAATAATCTTTAAAAATCCACGCCTCTTTATAGGCCTTGAAAAAAATAATCTTTAAAAATCCACGCCTCTTTATAGGCCTTGAAAAAAATAATCTTTAAAAATCCACGCCTCTTTATAGGCCTTGAAAAAAATAATCTTTAAAAATCCACGCCTCTTTGTTAGGCCCTTGAAAAATATTCTTTAAAAATCCACGCCTCTTTGTTAGGCCCTTGAAAAATATTCTTTAAAAATATTCTTTAAAAATCCACGCCTCTTTGTTAGGCCCTTGAAAAATATTCTTTAAAAATCCACGCCTCTTTGTTAGGCCCTTGAAAAATATTCTTTAAAAATCCACGCCTCTTTGTTAGGTCCTTGAAAAATATTCTTTAAAAATCCACGCCTCTTTGTTAGGTCCTTGAAAAATATTCTTTAAAAATCCACGCCTCTTTGTTAGGCCCTTGAAAAATATTCTTTAAAAATCCACGCCTCTTTGTTAGGCCCTTGAAAAATATTCTTTAAAAATCCACGCCTCTTTGTTAGGCCCTTGAAAAATATTCTTTAAAAATCCACGCCTCTTTGTTAGGCCCTTGAAAAATAAAAATCCACGCCTCTTTGTTAGGTCCTTGAAAAATATTCTTTAAATCCACGCCTCTTTGTTAGGCCCTTGAAAAATATTCTTTAAAAATCCACGCCTCTTTGTTAGGCCCTTGAAAAATATTTTTTAAAAATCCACGCCTCTTTGTTAGGTCCTTGAAAAATATTCTTTAAAAATCCACGCCTCTTTGTTAGGCCCTTGAAAAAAATCATCTTTAAAAATCCACGCCTCTTTATAGGCCTTGTGAAAAATATTTTTTAAAAATCCACGCCTCTTTGTTAGGCCCTTGAAAAAAATCATCTTTAAAAATCCACGCCTCTTTATAGGCCTTGTGAAAAATATTTTTTAAAAATCCACGCCTCTTTGTTAGGCCCTTGAAAAATATTCTTTAAAAATCCACGCCTCTTTGTTAGGCCCTTGAAAAATATTCTTTAAAAATCCACGCCTCTTTGTTAGGCCCTTGAAAAATATTCTTTAAAAATCCACGCCTCTTTGTTAGGCCCTTGAAAAATATTCTTTAAAAATCCACGCCTCTTTGTTAGGCCCTTGAAAAATATTCTTTAAAAATCCACGCCTCTTTGTTAGGCCCTTGAAAAATATTCTTTAAAAATCCACGCCTCTTTGTTAGGCCCTTGAAAAATATTCTTTAAAAATCCACGCCTCTTTGTTAGGCCCTTGAAAAATATTCTTTAAAAATCCACGCCTCTTTGTTAGGCCCTTGAAAAATATTCTTTAAAAATCCACGCCTCTTTGTTAGGCCCTTGAAAAATATTCTTTAAAAATCCACGCTTTTTTATAGGCCTTGAAAAAATATGTCTTTAAAAATGTACGCCTCTTTATGGACCCTACAAAAATATTCTTTAAAAATTCACGCCTCTTTATGGGGGCTTTTTTAGACTCTTGAAAAATATTCTTAAAAGTATATTAAAATAAAAACAATTTTGTTACATATATTTTTTACATCTTTTTTATTTAAATTTTTAAAAATGTTATCAATTTTATTTGTTTGGGAAATTTTTTGTTTCATTTTCTTTAGATTTTATATATGTGTGTGTGTTGTTCTGTATGTTGTTATTTTTATATTTTATTTTAATTATTTTTTATATCTAACCACAAAAGAAGAGAGAAATTAAAGCGAGCAAGATGATTTCCTTATAAAGCAAATTAATAATAAAAATATACAACTACTTAAGTTTATATAAAAAGAAAATTAAAAATAATTATTAAATAAAAAAACACATGTCAGTTAGTCTTCGAAGATTTGCATACAAATATGAAATAGGTGTAAAAGGAAGATAATGGGAAAAAATAGAGATGCACATTTTTTAAATAATTATAATATTTGTTGGGAAGATAGAAATTAGTGTTTTATTTATTTTGTAACTTAAGATTTCTTTTGGAATCTAAACATCGCGTTTTTAATTGTGTTGCCATTCTTTTTGTTTTGTTTATTTTTTTACAATTAAAAATGTTCAATTGGTTGTGGTAGTTTATTGGGGTACATACACATATATTATTTATCAGCTGGGATTTTGGAAACAACCGAAAAGTGCATTACAACAAATAGTTTATATGCCTATAATAAACCGAGATTTATTAATAATGGCCAGATTAATTAGTGTATTAGAAACAAAAATGTAACAAAATTCCTTTACAACCAAAAAATTCATGCTGAAAAAGCTTAAAATCTTAAAATACCGAAAAAAGTCAATTCAGACGTTTATTAAAATCCAAGTTTTCTAGGTATTGCCCAGGCATTCATTAGTGATTGTATTTATCTCGTATATCTACTGCATTACCAGGGAGCCTCTCAAAAAAACCACCGAAGGAAAGAGAAACTTCTGATCTTAGCAGAACGAAAAAAACATTACTTCAAAATCGATCGCCAGTTATATCTTTCTAGTTAACTAGCAAATGGCGGTGAAATTAATATAAGCGCTGACTCTACAAGCAAAATAGGTTTGGCTCAGTCATACATCCAACTTTCAAAAGACCTAAAGTCAAACAAAAAAATATCGGAAAGCAAATGAAATACAATATTTTATAAGAAATGCAATCTGATCTTAAAAAGTCTGATCTATGCTCACCTAGCTACAAGTAACTTTCTTATCAATAAAATTTTAATTCTCACAAAGACAACACCTGTCAAAACACCTGGTATAACTTACAAAATTTTCAAAAAAAAAATCAGTTGACCAATTGAGATTGATAAAAATGTCAGTCATAGAAAGGGGGATATAGAAGAGAAATTAACTATTGTAAATCGGGGTTTATACAAGCATCAGCCGCTGCTCTCTACGATTCTCTTTTGAACTTCTCCCCCCTTGTCACTTTTTATACCTCTCACTTCTAAGAAATGAGCAGAGTTTCTTACAAAAGTTTCATGTATAAAACCGGACTAATGGGTATGCTTTTAAAAATTCCCAAATATAATCTCCGATTAGAAATTGTGCTGTTTTTTATTCTCACAACTCGCACAAGGACGACTACTGTCGAAACTTTCACTTGAATTTCAGATCAGTAAAAAGTACAAAAGCCTAGGAGACCAATGAACTATTATAATCAGTATGCTGACAAATGCCCAAATACAATCTACTATTCTGAATTCTATATGAGTAAGAAAATAGGTTGGTAGGTTGGTAGGTTGGTAACTACATGTTGTAGATTTCACATCAGTAAAATTCCCATAACATGTAAAAACAACTCTATTCGAAATTTCCACCTACGCAACGACGAAGGTAAATCATAATTCAATTGGAAAAATATGATGACTTCGGCATAGTCAAAGCCATCAAAGCGGTCAATGAAAGGGTCTGAATACTTCATTTTATCAAAACAGGCATACTTATTCTTTGGCCCGATCCCCTTTTCCTTGTGAAAATTCGCGATGTTTGGGCAATCTTGGAACTAGAAAATAACACAAAAAGATGTTTTTGGTCCATTTCATTCCATAAATATTAACCCATCTTTACAATAGGGGTCTTCATTGGGCAGAACGCATCCTACATGCAAAATTTCGTGAAGATTTGTCCATAATTGTGGCCTGCATCGTGTTTACAAATTATAATGGACAGGCGGACGGACACACATGTCTAGATCGACTCATCTGGTCCAGATATGACGATCGGTATACTTAAAGGTGGGTCCAGGACCAATATTTTGTGGCGTTACAAACTCTTGGGGCTGCACAAAGCTATAATTCCCTGACAACATAGTTGTGTAGGTTAGGTCTAAGGACTTGAGCGACCCTCAAAAAATCCAAAAAGACACAATATACTTAAAATAAATTAAATACGATACGAGATATGACGATCATTAAAAGTGCAAGTACAAACTAACATAGCGATGTGCTTACAATATCCTCAAAATCTTCCAGAGCTGTTGCAATACGTCAAATGAAATTCCCTCACGACCTACAGCAGAGAAAAGGATGAGATCCTCCTTCCAAAACCGTATCCAAAGTTATAAAGGGGAATCAACTGTAGGACAAATATAAGACGATCATTAAAGTTGAAAATACGAGCTGGCATAAAGATGTGCTCACAATATCCTCAAATGCTTAAATGCTGTTGGACTAACAACGACTGATCTTCTCATGGCCTAACGCAGTGAAAATAATGACATCCTTAGAGAAGCTGTAAAGATGTTTTCGGAACAGCTCAGATGGTTTTCACTCTCCTCGAACCCAGAATGCCGAATCACAACATTTTTCACAGATTGAAAAATGCTGCTAAACTTTCAAAATATAGAAATTTGGTCCATATAAAAACATTGGAACTATATTGATAAAAATTTGGATTTTTCCGTGTCTTTTCGCCTGTTGAGGCAGTATCGATAGTATTTGAGTATCTGACGACCCATCACCAGTAGCATTTGTTTCGCCAGTTCCAAAAGCGGAAGATGGTACTATTCCTTGTAATGTATTTCCAACCATTGCGAACACATTATTAGGCAGTATCTAATAAGGAAAAGGAAAGGCCCACTTATAGAATATAAAAAGGTCATCTTTTGGAAGATCAAAAAGTGTTCTTATGGAAGAACACAAATTCTTCTTATTAAAGGGGTCGATAAAATGGTCACAAGACCATCTCAATGACGAACCAAAGATCGCAAAATTTGACACATTGAAGGAGATCTGGCCAGCAAGTAATATCTTATGTACAGAAAAATTACGATTGTGTTAAACCACCATTACGTTTGTACATTGGCAGAAACCCTAAGACTGGCCGCGAGAAATCTAGTAGCAATGCTGATAATTTCACGTCGCCAATCGAATTTTTTAATCTCACAAGTGTAATAGATTACATCTAATGGAGTTGATTAGTGAAAATAATGGAAAATCTGAATTGCAAATGTCCAACGCTTCAGAGTAACATCTATCGGCTATTTGAATTTGATTCCATCATCACCGCTGTATCAAGAGTCTTACGGGCCAAAGCTGGCGTACCACCCATAAACTTCTTCGTTCCTGTAGTATATATTTGCAAGTGGAATGGTTCTTGACTTATTCCGACCGTTGGACAGATTTATTGTAATTCTTAGCTGCACAGGAAACTATTTTATTCGGAAATTATGGAAATCATAATGGAAAATTGATATATTTTATTCGCTGTTTAAAAATCCGTAAAACAAAATTCTTGTATGTTACATAAAAAAGTAATCCCGCTGTGAGAGTTGTAGACATTTTTTGTTTTTTCTTCGAAAATACATATATATCTGCTGAAGTTATTTCTTTTTTTTTTCATTTAGGATAAGTTTTATTTCCTCCTCTTGTTTTTTATTTGTGTTTCTTTGTTTTAAATTAATAATAATTTTTGTTTATTTGTTTTTTCTTATAGGTTTTTTTATTATTATTTTAATAATTTGTTATGTTAGGTTTTTCTTTGTTTTTTTTTTACTTTTAAATTATATATAGGTTTTTCTTTCTTTCTTGTAGCAATTATTTGCATACATTTAATTTTTAAATTAATTTTGTTTTTTTTATTTGCAAATACAATAATTCGTTTTCTTACTCATTCAGATTGTTGTGTGTTTGTAGGTTTTTAGGTATAGATTTATGGTTGCTGTTTTCGGCTGTTCTTGCTTGCTTCCATTTAATTATCATTTATATTATTGTTGTAGTAGTACTTATTTAGAGAGGGCAATTATTTGTTGAATTTTTTGTTTTTGTTTCATTTTCTTTTGTGTGTGTTTGTATTTTTTATGATTTATGCATATTTATAAAGTTTAATAAATTTATGTTTGTTATAATATTTGAGGTTCTCCTTACGACTACAACATACGTTGGTTGATTTATTGAATGATGATTGAGGAAATCATGTTGCATATCTGAAAAGAAAAAAAGGAACAGGATGGATTAGTTTTAGACTGATAATGAAAGAGGTATCCTTAGGGAACCGCAAAAAATCTAAACAAAGAAGACAAATTAGACTTGTCATGGAAAAGCTAATAGTACTCATAGAAGACAATAATAGTATTTCTATAGATTATCATCAAAAGACCTGCCTATGGAAAACCAAAAAGACTTATTATCGAAGACCAGCAAATTTTTTCGGTAAAGAACCAAAAGTTGTTCCTAAAGCAGAAAAGAAATCTACTTAAAGATGACCAAAAATTGTCTTCATTTATATGTCCTCTTACAGAAGGCCAAACGTCCTCATATGGAAGACCAAAGAAAAGAAAATTCCTCTTTTAGAACATCAACCGATCCTCTTATAGAATACCAATAGGTCCTCTCATAGAAGACCAATAAATCTTCTTATTGAATGGCTAAAGCTACTCTTACAGAAGTTACCAAATGTTCCTCTTATAGAGACCAAAAGTCCTCTTATAGAAAACCAAAATTCCTCTTATAAAAGTCCAAAAGTTCCTCATAAAATAGCAATAGGTCCTCTTTTAGATGGCCATATTCACTTATAGAAGACCAAAAAGTTCTCTTAAAGATTAAAAGGTCCTCTTATAGAACAAAGAGTCCTCTGATTGAAGAACGAAACATCCTCTTATTGAAGGCCAAATAATCCTTTTATAGAAAACCAGGTTATCTTATAGAAAACAAATAGATGCTCTTTCAGAATACCAAAACTTTTTGGAGACCAAAAGATCTACCAGAAGGTCCTATTATAGAACACCAAAAGGACTTTTTATAGAAAACCAAAAAGTATGTTTAAAGAAGATCAACAGATCATCATATGAAGACCAAAGGGTTTTCTTATAGGAGACAAAAAAATCCTGTTGTAGAAGACCAAAAGATCCCTTTATGAAAGGGTACTCTTGTGTACGACCAAAAAGTCCTATTACTAAGGGTACTCTAATGAAATACCAAATGATCTTCTTTTAAAAGACCAAAAATTCATCTTCTATATAATTACAATATTACCTCTTTGTCCACAGTCTAGCGATTCTATCATGCTCCTCTCGATTTTGTAAATATTGAGTGGCGATACTGCCAACCAGTGGATCGGCTAGAAAACAAACAAAAGAAAACAACAAATTACTAAAAAGATAAAAACAAAAAAAAAATTCCATCCAAACTCACCAGGATTACAATCAGTCAGCAGGGAACAAATTGACAGCAATACCTTCGATATGGTCAATGCTGGTGACCAATTATCCTTTAATATATCTAAACATATAACACCCTGACTATTGATGTTACAGTGATAGATACGTGTACGGAACGTAACTTTAGGCGGTTTGAAGGGATATTCGGGCGAAAAGTGTATATCCAAAAAGAATACACCACCTTCGTAAACGGAACCGGGTGGACCCAAAATTGTCGATACCCATTCGTATAGATTATCACCCTTCGGGCCGGCACTACAATTTGGAGGTGGATCCAGTGTAATTTCGGCAAGTTCTTTTTGTATACGCTTGGCCGATGTACCCAATGCTTTTGAAATTTTCGGATTAGGTTTGGGATCTTTGCGTGTCTCTTCACTTGTTGTGGCAGCGGCAGTATTTGCCGATGAACCACCACCGCCAGCTGCATTTGCACCAGTTCCAGAAGCGGCAGCTGGTGCGGATCCTGTATTACCATTACGGCCGCGGGCGGCAGCAGCCGCTGTTGTATTTGTGGTCGTATTATTGGTAGCAGACATATTATTGGCAGTGCCTGTTGAAGGTGTCGACGACGACGAAGACGAAGATGAATTGGCAACAAGACCGACGGCCGGGGCTGCCGATGATGAAGTTGAGCCGGTGCTATTGGATGTCGCTGTACCACCACTTGTCGTTGTCGATGATGACATAGTGGTCTGTTGTCTTACACAGGGACGAAAATTCGGTGGATCACGTTTAGAACTGTGATTATAGGTTTGCTGTAATGGAAAACATATTTATTATTAATTAGATATTACTTTTTTGTTAGAAAATTTATAAAGAAGAAAGAAGAACTCAACATACAACATAATAAAGAGTGGTTTACCAACAACACAAACGAGGAGATAGCAAACGACGTTCAGTGGATGTTGTCGTTGGGACCAAAGTTCGCTCTGCCGACAACACACACATCATTCCCTCTACTCAATGTTATTGCTGAGAGTGAAGACTGCATACAAACACTGGACAACAAAGAAGCAAGAAAATGCAAGAATAAAATTAGTATCACTCATTGACGATCACTTACAGCGGAGAAAACTAAGTATAAGAGATAAATTTATAATTGAAACAGTGGGACAAACAAGAACATTTTTGAAAAATAATAAGGACGTACTAATATTAAACGCAGACAAAGGGGGAAAAACAGTAGCCATGTATAAAAATGATTATGAAATGAAAATGAAGGATATAATTCAAGACATGTGTACATATCGCAGACTAAAAAGAGATCCAACGACCACCCTGCAAAACAAAAACAACAAATTAGTGGAAAAATTATATAACTTGAACATCATAAATATCACCGAAAAGAACAAATTAATGACAAATACCTCACTCGCTCCACGGATTTATGGTCTACCAAAGATTCACAAAGACGGAATACCACTACGACCGATATGCTCATCCATAAATTCACCTACCCACGGACTGTCCAAATACATTGTAGATATTTTAAAACATTTGACGAAGGACTCAGCTTACAATATCAAGGATGCAATAGAATTTAAATCCAAAATCAAAGAGGTGAACATTGAAGATGACGAAATATTAATATCATTTGACGTAGTGTCGTTGTTCCCCAGCGTTCCAATAAACTTAGCACTAAAGACGATCGCCGAAAAATGGAACACATTGAAAGACTATACCAGAATGCCAAAAGATTTATTTATAGAAATACTGACTCTTTGTATTAAAGACTCCAGATATTTTATATTTCAAGACAAGGTGTACGAACAACGGAAAGGACTTCCAATGGGTTCACCAGCGTCACCGATTATAGCTGACGTAATAATGGAGGAATTATTGGACGCTTCTATAGAAAAGATGACGATGAAACCAAGGATATTAACAAAATACGTGGACGATATATTTTGTATAGTGAAAAAAACGGAAGTCGAAAATACACTAAGGGTATTGAATTCATTCGACAAAAACATACAATTTACACATGAAATAGAGGAAAATGACAAGCTGCCATATCTAGATGCAATGATAATCAGACAAGACAAGGAACTTAAATTAGATTGGTACCAAAAACCAACAGCATCTGGACGACTTATAAACTTTTATTCCAATCATCCACGAAGAGTGAAGATAAATACGGCAACAAATTTTATACATAGAGTTTTCAATATAAGTGACGAACAATTCCACCAAAACAATGAAATCAAAATACGACGCATATTAAAAAAGAATGATTTTCCACGAAAAATAATCGACGAACTATTAAAGCATGCAAAACAGATTAAAAACTTGAGAATTGGAGAAGAGAATGAAAAAGTGTATAAATCTTTAACTTACATCCCAGGATTTTCGGAGAGATTTTGCAGATCTAATGTGTACAATAAGGACAAATTCCAGATAGCTTTAAAGACCATCAACACTGTTAATAATATGTTCAGTAAAACAAAGACAAAGACAAAAAAAGAGGATAAGTGCAATGTAGTTTATAGGATAGCATGTAACGGTGACGAAGGTGATGTATGCCAAAAGGTATACATTGGCACGACAAAAACAAAATTAAAAACTAGACTTTCCGGACATAAATCTGATCAAAAATCTGACAAACCATTAGAGCAAAAGACGGCGCTAGCAGCACACTGCACTTTGACTGGTCACAAACCAAATTTCAAAGATATTGACATTGTAGCACAGGAAAATAATTACAAGAGACGATTTACATTAGAAATGTTACACATCATAAATGTACCGACCGAAAAAAGAATTAATTATAAAACTGACACAGACCACTGTGCACATATCTATAGGAACTTAGTACATAAGCACAGACGAAAAAAGAAAACTTAGTTTGACTGTGACGTTAAAGTAATGTAGACGCTTTTCCTCTACATTAATATAAATGTAAGATTCGTGAATTTGTCGTTTATCAATTTGTAACTAATTGTATTCTTTGTAACAGATCCCTGAAGATGATTGTCGATGACAATCGAAATATTGGAGAAATAAATAAAAAACAAAGTTAAACAAAAACAAACGTTTTTCATTGACCTTCAGCCGAACGATCATCAAACAGAATTAAAAATTTCCAGGTCAACTATAAACAACAACAGCAAAATTTATAAATTTAAAATAAAAATGTTTTTTGGTATAGGAATAGAGTATGTAACAATATATTTTGATGGAAGATAAAATAGTTTTCTCGCTATAGAATACCAAAAGATCATCTCAAAAAAATTAGAAATATATTTACATATAAGAACCGAAGAATAATAGGTCAAAGATTAAGAAAATATATGGAGAATTCAAGAATACCAAGAGAATTTTAAAATAAAAACATGGAAGTCTTCTCATACAAAACCAAAAAATCTCCTTCTTGAAGAAAAAAGGTCCACCATAGAGATGACCCAAAGGTCTTCTTAGAGAAGTTCAAATAACTTCGGGTAGAAAAAAAGAGGACTTTTTATAGAAGAGAAGAATAATAAGATTCTCCAAAAAAGTCATGTCATATTCTAACAAAAGGCAAATAGGTCTTGTTACAAAATATGTCTTCTTAGAGAAGATAAAGATGCAGTTTTAGGGAAGAAAAGACATCTCCTTAGAAAAGATAAAATACTGCCGGCGAAGTTTTCTTTAGAAGCCTAGAGGGTCTTCTAATGAAAACACAAAGACAACTTGTTCGACAAAACTAAAAGGTCTTTATAACGTCTTCTAAGACCTTCAAAAACTTATCATATATACGAGGAGAAGAGAGCTGACAGCAAAACAATAGTTTTTTCTTAGAGAAGACCCCTGAATCCTTTTATGGAAGAACGTTTCTTAAAAATACAAAGAAGTGTTTTACGCAAGCATGGCATTCCTATATGGCGATCTAATTATAAAAAACTTATATATATATTCTTAGAGCTGGCCAAGAGATCTCTATGCAAATCCAAGAGGTCTTATAAATCGAAGAAGTCTCCCTATATACATTTAAGAAAACCACTAAGTCTTCTGTTTCCTGAAAAATTGTTTATTAGAGCAAAAACTGATAGACTATTCATTGACTTCTATTTGGCTTTGAATAGAAGACAAAAATATTTTAAATTTAAATATCTGAAATTTAAAATTTCAGAATGGAAATGCATAAGAAAAAAATGAACGATTTGATATCCATGCCCAGATGGCCCTAGCAAAAAATATATTTAAAGAAATACCTGATCAGAGAGTCTTAGAAAACAAATTCTTAAAAAAAACACCATCAGTTTCCTTAAAATTCTTTAAGAAATCTTTGCTCAGATGGACAAGAAGATTATTCTTTATAAAATTTATATTTATCTGGTCCTTTAGAAAAAAATCTTTAAAATGCTCGCTTTTTCTGTTCCTATAAAATTATACGGTTCTAGAAAAAATGAATCCAAGCTCGCTTATCGTGTACCTATAAAAAAGTTGGTTCTAAAAAATATTCCTTAAACCAATATTCCAGCGGAGCAGTATAGTCGAACGGGGCCCCCTACACAACTACCACGAAAATCTTGCTTTCGGTGGTTCTATATTCTGAGCCTGGGCAATATATTATGTACACCCTTTGGCCGATTAGAGGTCAACAGCTCCACTTTCTAACCCTCGGAATATTGACCGATCATCATCTAAACATAAGTTCTAAGTATTTCGTCGGATCCCTTCACCGTGTAAAATATGTGATGTTCTGCACCTGCACCATTATTAAATGGCCTCTAGAGCGACTACAAAATCTGACAAAAATAACGTTTACGGTTCATTCCAACCCAAAAAAAAAAAATCATCTCAACATCAACGAAATTTATAGGCGTCGTCCTTGATCATAACCGGAACTTAATGTAAAACTTCGAAGGGATAAGCGAAACATTTCCGATGTCTAGTGGGGTAATAGTAATACTAAACAATATCATAAAACATAGACACCATTAAAAATATTGACAACAATATAATTGATATCAATTTAAAGACCAACCACTACTCTGGGATAAAATATCAACTTCTCGGGTCGATGTCCTTCAGCAGTAAATATATACGCCTCAGAATACAAATTTTGGCATTTTTTATACAAAAGTGTTGGTCCATTTGACCCGCTAAATATTGATCGACCGTTTATTCTTTGGCCTGGTAACCTTCTCCATGAAGAATGTTCTGGTCATAATTGTGGCCTCAAGGGCGACCAGAAAAGCATACATTTTATCCCCTAAATATTAACCGATCATTACCAAAAACAATAGGTGTCTTCTTTGGCCAGGACCCATCCTACATGACGAAGACACGGGGACCGGTCGCATATTGTTTTAAAAGTATTACCATAGATAGTCCTTAAGATCCCGATCACAACGATATATATATTTTTTTAATATCTTTTTAAAATCCGTGGTTTATATCTCAGGTCGTATGAACTTCACCCGCATATCTGGAGGTTTGGTCGTCTGCATGAAAAAAATTCATGTAATCAGGGTCACGACCGGTCCCGAGCTTAAATAAAATAGTATACACTGTAAAAGGTCCAAATGGAAATTTTGTGGAGGTTACTCATTGTCCAACCATCATGTACCTTCATTCATTGGCGACCTTCCTCCCAAATTATACCCTTGAAAATAATTGTCTGTAAAAGGCATCCAAGATACATTAATAATGTCGTAACAGAGAAAAGAAAAATACACCGATATTGCCTACCTTTAGGCGCATTGCTATTTTCCAAGAAATACAAAAACCTCTCAAAAGAACTTCGACAATACAACAACACAACA